CTCATGCAAGGCGATGAGCGGAAGCGAAGCTTCGAGACGACGCGACGCGCTTTCTCGAGGCGCGACGACTTGTCTATGGCACCCGTTCGATCACTTGTATTCAAAGGTCGCTTGCTGCTGTTGCGTCAACGGTATACGAGGCGCCTCTCGATCGCGATGAATGGTTGCCAGTCAGGTGGTTGCACGTCCTTCCTCCGCACCTTGGGGTGTCATCGTCGGGCTGAACGAGCGTGCGAGGAGCTGACAAACGCATACGACCACCATATTTGCAGCGCACGTGCGACCCTACTGCCTATGATCTACCTTGCCGATCCCTTCCAGTTTGCATCGTCGTCATTCTGGTTGAACTTGGGTTTCGGCGCCAGGGCAAGGAACCACGGAGACGCTTTTGATAAAAAAGCAGATGCGTATCCGGACGTTCAAGGTTTGCATGGGCAGATGGCGCAATCTTCAAGCCCAGCGCTCGTTGTCGAGGGCCGTCAAGGCCCTGCACGCCAAGTCGCTTCCATGCGCCAGTCTCTCTCGGGTATGTAGAAGCTTGGTCGAAGCCATCAACGCAGTACCACCATGCGCTTCCATCTTGTTACGACGCTAATCAATGTCGAGGTCGATAGCCTTTTGCTGCTGGTACGACCGCCGAACGGGCTGTTTCTTGGGGCGCACCGAGTATGCAGGTGCCGACTGCCGCAGATCGCTAGTCGCGGATGCATCTTCGACGCGGTTCATGATGGTCTGCGCAATCTGGATGAGCGCTGTCACGTCGGCGTCGCGGAGGCCATTGCGCGGCGCATGGTCGAGCACCGAGAGCACGCCCAGTTGCACGTGCTCGGACGAGACGAGCGGGACGCCCACGAAGAACTGGACGCTGCGGTCCGCCACGATCGGGTTGGCCGCAAACCGCACGTCACTGCGCGCGTCGAGGACGATGAGCGGGCGGTCGCGGCTCACGTGCGCTTCCAAGAGCACGTCCCACGGCAGCATGTCGCGCTCGACGCCGTGCTTGGCGACAAAGTACCCGGCGTGCGCGCCAAAGATGCACACAGTGCCCATGGCGCAGCGCAGCGACTTGCACGCGAGCGTCGCGTACAAATCGAGGTCGTCGCGGCGCCGGCAGAGGTCGAGCTCGGTCGCGATCGCCGCGCGCCGGTCGTGGTCGTGCAGAAGGGACGGCGGGTCGGGCCACGCATGGCCCCGCTTAAAGTTGAGCGGCACTTCCAACGGCGAGTTGCTTGTGATAGTAGGACCTGCCTCGGAGCCGCGCAAGGGCGACGGCGGAACGTAGTGCAGTGACGGCGGAACGTGGTGCGGCGACGGCGGCATGTTCCCGGCCGTGGGCGAGCAGAGCCGGACGGGCGCGGGCGGCGGGGACCGGCGTCGGGGTGGTGGCGACCGCCGCGTGGTCGAAGGCCGTGCTTGCGGCGTCGGCATGTGGGCAACGTCGTCGGGGCTCAAAGCGTCGTGCGGTGGCTGCCACGACGGCCGCGTCTCGAACGACGGCAGATGGTCGAGCTTGATGGTCGAGAGCGAGTCACGCTGGATGGGATGCTGCCCGGACGACCCGAGGCCCTTGAACGCGAGGGCTGATGCGTCCGTATCGCCATGGACTTCCCACCTACCAAGGACAAGATCTTAGCATCTGCATCGGCGAGATGGCAAGGATGTACCGCAAGATGCGTCCGTCGTTCGGGAGCATGTAGAGCTTGTGCACAAAGTCTTGTCGGAGGACCTTCCCGGTCGCACGCACTTGCATGCTTTCGTGGCCTTTGGCGACGACAACGATCTGCTTGGACGACGACTCGACGACCTCGAGGCTGTGGACGGCGAATGTAAGGAGCTTGGCCGCCTTTGTGAGCTTGGTGAGGAACTCGAGGAGGCCGTGGTGCCCCGAGTATGCGCCTTGGAATGGCACGACGACGCGGTAGTTGGTGCGCAGCGCGAGGCTGCGATGGCACATGGAGACGAGACGCATGACCGGTCGGTCGATGGACGGCGCGGCCACCGCGAGTGCGATCAAGGTCGGCGGCCGCACGATCTGGCGCGGTGCGACCTTGAGCTCGAGGACCTTCTCACGCGCTTCGTCTTCGAGCGCACTCAGCGACGACTGCACGTACGCCAAGGCGGCGTAGGCGTCGTCGAGCGTGGCCGGTCGGATGGTCGTATCGACGAGCCCGACGCGGCCGCGGCTGTCAATGCGCGTGTCGTGGATGCCCTGCGCCGCCATCGCCATCCACAGTGTCTTCATGGCCTGCGTCTTGGCGCGGAGAAAGACGGGCTTGCCACTCGAAGTTTCAAAGATAAAGTCGAACGCACCATGGCCGTGGATCGAGACGACATGCTGCAGAATGACGTGCGACGTGAACGAGAAGGCGCCGTGCTTGATCTTGGAGTTCTCGGGCTGCCGCTTCGCCTCGTCCGCCGAGAGGTAGCAGTAGAGCGCGCAGCCGTGCAGCACAAAGTAGTAGGCTTCCCACTGCTTGAGCCAGTCAGACCGCTTCTGGAGGTAGCCCTCCCAGCGCGTCGTCACGGCCACGGCCGGCGTGTCCACAGAGGCTGCTGGCGCCTCGTTGTAGCTGGGCAGCGACCCGATCGTCGCGCATGCTTCCGACGCCGCCATGCAAGACTACGTATCACGTTGTTGCGGTTGTTGAGCCATGGGAGCCGGAGTCGAATGGCTTCGCTTTTACCGACAGCATCACCCCGCCTTCAGTTCGACGGTATACCAGATGCGCCGAGCCCATGTCGCCCCGCCCGTGACGCGCCACGCCGGGACAGTGGCCCAGGAACACTGCGACTGGAACTGGTCGCGGAAGACGAAGAAGGAGGAGACAGGCGGGACGAGGACCATCACGCGTACGTCGTGCTGCAGACGCTCGCGGGTCCCGGGCTCGGAGTGCGTTGCCTCTGGAAAGGCGCCGCATCAAATGCACTGTTTCAAGATGCTGGATGGCATACACTGTACTAATTGGACGAAGCAGTTCGCACCTCGGGTGCTCGGACCGCCTCTCGCGTGCCATGGACCGATCGAACGAGGGCGTAGGGTCGTGCATTGCGCGAGCGTGTCGTACGCAGCACGTACGGTTGCGCTGCCACGTGCTGTGCTGCACGCGGACGTGTATGTAGCTGGTGCCAACGGCGAGATTGAGCTGCAACCAAATGCACTGGTATACGAGGAATACAGGATTTCTCGCTCGCGTTTCCGGTCCCCGTTCATATGCACAGTCACAACACGGGTTGCGTTGGCTTTACGAGGTAGTAACCCTGCCCAGACCTAGAGCTCCCCGCTACGTAAACCTTGCGGAATGTCTGCGAGGTTGACGAGTCGCTCTTGCCGAGTAGAAGTCGACACCGATAGGACGGCGACTCGTTGGTCGGCACATCGGTGGTTCGATCTCGCCAAGCACTTGGGCATCCTTGTTGCTTGTTGCGGCGGCGTCGGTGGCGTCCTGCTGATGGAATTGCAAAGCGTGCTAGCGTTGGACAATGCTGGCAGGTGGCCGGCGAGTCGCATGGGCGCTTCGGTTCTACTGTGCGGGACAACGTTCTCTGCCGTTTCTTACTGGCAACCATCCCTTATGCTTGGTGCCAAAGCGCGCTACCTATACTCCGCACAAGACGCGCGCCTTTGCGGCGGCGATAACATCACACAAAGGCACAGCGAGGCGCTCGCTTTCTATACGCCTGTCATCGCCATCGATTGTCGAACGGGTGCGAAATAGAACAATGTGATGGCGCGGGACGTCTGTGATGCTCCAAGATCCAATCCGGTAAGCTTGTCTGGGCAGGGCCATAGCAACGCGTCACGAAGGTCCACGAAGATTTCAAACGGCCGTACCACAATCTACCACGTCGTCCCGGCGGTGCTGCTTGTGCTACGTACTAGGCCTATCGTGGCGAGCGTTGGGCTAATCGCCTCGTCTTCTCGCCATCGTTACGGGATCCAGGATGGCGCGTCGCACCCAATGAATCTTGGTGGCAACCATGTCACGTCGTCGGCGGCGGCCTCCAAAGAGCTCCAGCGCGCGCTGGCGACGACTGTACCTTGAAGCAGACGTCGTCGTGGCCCTGCGGCCGTCGCCGCCAATGCTTCTTGCACATCTTGTCTCCCTCTCAAATGTATGGCTTCCCTGGATGAACCGTGGAGATTGCTACCGAAGATCGTCAGCCCATCTGCGACAGGCCATCGCTCAGCTTCGATCGAAGTTGGCATCATCAAGATGTTGACGTCAGCAGTCAGTAGGGCTCGGGTACACTCTTGCAATGTATCAAGTCCGCCTTGCCGTTGCATTCAAGAGGTGGCTTCGAACTTCGAGGCTCAATCGACGGATGCGTATCATTGGTGTGTTCTCGGCGGGCGGCGGCTCTTATTGGGCCGGCCCGACGCAACGTATCCGGATGCCGGATACGAGAGTGAAACCACAAAAACACGCATGGGTGGTGTTGAGTGGTGAATGGCGCGGCCGCGGCTTTGGCTCATTTTGCTTTTTCGGCTCAATTGACAAGATGGACGTTGCTGGTGGTAAGGGTGATGCGGCCGTCGGTGCCAAGATCTTCAAGACCAAGTGCGCGCAGTGCCACACGTGCAACCCCGGCGGCGCCCACAAGCAGGGCCCCAACCTCTCGGGCTTGATCAACCGCCAGTCCGGCCAGGCCCCCGACTACTCGTACTCGGCTGCCAACAAGAACTCGGGCGTCACGTGGACGGACGAGACGCTCTTCGAGTACCTCCTCGCCCCCAAGAAGTACATCAAGGGCACCAAGATGGTCTTCGCCGGCCTCAAGAAGCCCCAGGAGCGCCGCGACTTGATCGCGTACCTCATCGAGGCTTGCGACCCCAACGCCGCGTAAATACGCCCGTTCTATTTCACGTTTAGATATTGCTAGTTTGATGCTGGCGCGCCACTGCCATTTCCCGGCATTAGAGGAATAACACGCTTTGTATCTATCATAACCCTCGACTTGCTTACGCCTGCCGCCCGCCCGAGACAACGCATGCTCAACGCCGGTCTCGTGAGCGCCGCTGCGAGCGAGGACTCATGAGCTCTCGGAGCTGCCGTCCAGAGTGATGAAGCGCCGAGAACGTTGCCATACGTATCCGGTTGATGGGGATCAGACACTCGACACCAGCGACCATCCAAGGAAGAAACGAGATCTTGGGTCTGTATCTCGCCGCAGCAATTGCAGGCCGGCTACAATTGCGGGTTGCCATCCGCACCTCAAACTCGCGAGTCGCTGCGACTCTAATCGTCGCTCTCAGATCGTAGCGTAGCAAGCAATAAGAGTGTGTTATATTGGTAGTGTAGTGTGGTCGAAGAAGGAGTAGGGTGCGAATCGGTGTGCTTACAAGTGGAACTTTCGGCGCGACGTGTCCATCGCGTGCTGCTTGTGAATCCACTCGTACTCGCCGTACTTGGTGTCGAACGTGCCTTCTTGGAGCCAGCGCAGCTTCATCGTGAAGCGCGGGCCGATCTCCTGTAGCCGAGCCTTCTACACAGCGCACGAGTCGTCCAGCAGGATAGCAGAATCGGGATGCGCGACGAACCTTGCCGTTTTCGAAAATGTAGCGGTGCTGGCGCACAAAGATGAAGTCGCGCTGGTTGTGAAACGTCACGACCTGGCGCCCCTTGAAGTCGGGCTTGTGCTCAAAGAACGAGCCAAGGAAGCGGCCAATGCGGTGCCCGAGGCGCGTGTTGAAGTTGTTCAGGATCAGCTCCGGCTGGTGGCTCGTGCGCTTGGCCTTGTTTTGGATCTGTTTGTTGAGCACGACGTTCGAGATCTTGAAGAACGCCGTCGGGCCATGCGGGAGGCGGCTCACGACCATGCTAGCACACGCGGATGACCAACTTTGTAGCGACAAGAGACATACCCGTTGACCTTCTTTTCCTTCTCCGAGAGAATGCACACGTGCGTAAAGGCCTTGTTGCCGGCGAAGCGGCAAATGTCCTTGATGTCGTACGTCTTGCGGTCGTAGTAGAACGAATTCGGGATGAACTCCATGAGGTTCTGCACGAACGGGTACATGTCACCGGACGGGAACGGCCGCGTCGTGATCATGAGCTTGGGCGTCTCTTCGTTGCCAAAGATGCGTGCAAACTCGTCGTCGTGGTCGTCGGCCGCGATCTCGTCGTCGTCGCCGCCAATCATGGTCACTTCGGCCTCACGCGCATTATCGATCGTGCGGGGCTCCTGCTTGGCCGGCGCCTTGTCACCGAGCTCTTCGGCCTCCTTCTTGCGCGCGGCCTGCGCCTCCTTCTTCATCGTCTTCTTCTCCTTCTTGTAGAGCTGCATGACTTGCTGGCGCTTGATCTTGTTCTTGATGCCCGACGGGTTCTTGCGCAGGATCTTGGGCGCGTCCTCTTCCGGTGCCGCCGCCGCCTTCATGCTCTTGCCGCGGCCCTTGCCGCCGTCGCCAGCCCGCGGCTTGCCGCCCGACCGCTGCTTCGCGTCTTTGCCCATGCTTGAATTGCAACTGCACCAACCAACCCACTGCCAAATCCGACCTTTTGATTGGTTCCTGCCCATCCTCGCCATTTCAACCAATCGTCGGGCGCGATTTCGATCCAGCATTTGAGAGCCAAACGAGCACCCTGACAACACAACACCGACGAGGCCAGCTCCATGACTTCCATACGTCCACATAGAGACATCGGCAATGTTCGGCGTCGGACGCTCCTTGCCGCTCGCCAGCATACCGTGCGGTACTGCCGATTTAGCCAGCCATTGGGTTCTAGTATACTCGACCCAAGTGACAGACTTGGAAAGATCGGTTTGATTCATATTTGTATAGTATACAAAAGCAAGCTATTATCACAGAATCCATTTTTAGACAGGGTATGAAACAGTGTATGTTGGAAACACTGCATGGACAGCAACTTTCGAGGACCCAAGCAGACTTTTGCAAGCTGGCCGTTGGACCAAGGACGTACGAGACACACACTTGCATTCAAATAGAGGAAGCCACCAACGTCATCGTCGTCGGGACCGTGTTCCTATTGCTCTACGAACTCTCGTCGCACCGACTCCGCTCTAAGGCCTCGTCATGCACTAGCGCACAGTACATCGCAGCTTACTGACCACCGTCGCGCGTCGCGAGCTGGCTGTACAAGGCCGGGCGGCGGTCGCGGAGGAGGCCCCAGCTCGCGCGGCGAATGTGCATCTTTTCCAAGTGGAAGACTTCGACGAGGACGCCTTCGGACTCGCGGTCCGCAATCTTGAGCTATTCACACACAGCAATGTGAGCAGTGAACGTGTAACACGCTACGACGTACGAGCTCGCCGGTCTGGCCCGTGATGAACGACGAGCCGCAGAACGTCACCTGGATGCCATCGCTCTGCTCCGTGCCAACGCTACAATATCGCGTCACGCGTCTGGCTTGCAAAGGAGCATACTGTACCGGTTGGAGGCGACAATGGGCACCATGTTGGCGGCCGCGTGGCCCTGCATGACACGCTGCCACTGGTCCCGCGCGTCAAAGCTCGGGTCCTAAGGCCAATAATGAGAAGACGCGTTCGCTCAAATGACATGGCGCACGAATTGGTTGCTCCCAAGCGCGCTGGGATACAGGATGATCTCGGCGCCCTTGATCGCCATGAGACGCGCGGCTTCCGGGTACCACTGGTCCGAGCCAATGCCAACACCGATCGTGGCGTAGCGCTACGATCACACAGCAATGCGTCCATGTCCGTGGACCATCCAAGAGGCGTACGGTCTTGAAGACAGCGCTCGGGACGTCCGAGGGCGCGAAGTAATACTTGTCGTTGTAGCCAAGGCGATCTATGCACAAGGATGAGAATTGGCACTGTATGTCGCGTTCGACGCACCCGAGATGTGGGCCTTGCGGACGACGCCGAGCACCGCGCCGTCGGCGTCAATGACCGCGACCGAGTTGTAGTACGAGTTTTGGTACCGCTCGAAAAAGCTAATCGGCAGCACGACACGCAGCTCCTTGGCGAGCACCTGCATGCCTAAGACGAGGACATGCATGAGGCACAGAGTACACACGCGGGTACGTACCGCGGACAATGCCGCTGCCCTCAAGCGTCTCGGCGAGCTGGAAGTTCTGGCTCGAGAGATCCATGGGAAAGTACGTGTGCTGGAAGAGCTCCTGGAGCAGCACGATCTGCGCGCCGCGGCCGTGCGCGATCCGCACGAGGCTCTCGGCCTTCTTGATGTTCTCTTCCTGGTTGCGGCAGCTCATCTGCGTGGCCGCCACGGTGACCGTCTAGCGTTGATGATGAGACGACGAGCTCGCGCCTGCTTCCACGTACGCGGAGGTCGTAGCCGCCGGACGCGCTCCCAATGATGCTCATTGCTGTAGCTTGGTGACGAAATGTGAAGTGCCAAGCGTCCCGAGCGGCGTCGCCGGAAAGATGCGACGGTATCCGGATATGCGCCAGCTGGAACCACCCAACAATGCGTTTGTTCACGCCTGTTACGCGGCCCCACTCGAGTGCCACGCGACCAAAGAGACAATAAGCCACCAATAAGCCTTTGCGACGACGAGGGAGGTTGTCCGAGCTTCGTCGCTAGCATCGTAGCAACGCCACGAGGAGACATGAAGCGAAGAAGGAGTCCGTGGACTGATCAGAAATCTCAAAAAATGATGGTGAGATTGCACTTGCATCAAACCCTGCGTGATGGGCAAAAATACGCTCTTTCGCGACACAACGACAGCTGGCGCGCTCAACTTCCTACCGCTTGAGTTCCTGCCCACCGCGGCGACGTTAGCTGGGCAGTATCGAGATGCCGGCAGGTCCTACGTACTCTAGAGACGATCTACGTGCTACGCTTGTACAGATTAGCAACGGGAACGACACGCCCGGACCAGAGAGTGTTTCGTCCGTGACATCGGTCGCCTCCCCCGCGCGCGTAATGCTCTGGTTTGCATGACTGGCACTGTGATAGGTGTTGCGTGAAATTAGACTTGGTGCCAAACCGGCTGACAGCTTAACCGGTTTGTATTGTACGTCAGCTGGGTATCGAACCGACTGGCTAAGCCGTACTTCGTCCGGCGCACTTGATTGGGTACGTCAAAGACTGGTGGAACAGGGTGCAACAAGTGCATTTGCCTTCGACGATGTTGCGCTTGATCGCTGCCCGTGCGCCCGCGCCTCGCCTGGCCCTCGGCCTGCCCCGCGCCTTTAGCACCGTGGACGCCCCGAAGAAGACCTTCACGTACAAGCTGCCGGAGGACGTCTCGGCGGAGAAGGACCTCCGCTTCGGCTTCAAGCCGGCGCAGATCCGCGACGCGCCGGACGCGGTCCACCGCATGCTCAACCTCGACAACGCGTCGCAGGCGGAAATCAACCAGCTCAAGACCCAGAAGGCCATTGAAGCGTTCCAGCGCTTCCCCGGCGACACGGGCTCGACCGAGGTGCAGGTGGCCGTGCTCACGCAGAAGATCAAGCGCATGACCGAGCACTTCAAGGACCACAAGAAGGACAACCACTCGCGCCGTGGCCTCCAGTCCATGATTAGCCGACGAAAGAAGCTTCTCGAGTACTTGCGCCGGGAAAACCTCCAGCAGTACCGTGCCGTCGTCGCGGCCCTCGGCCTCCGCTTCACGTAATAGACAAGACAAGCGGCGTTTAGATGCAAGTCCATCCTCGTCCTCTTCTTCATCAGCCTCAATATAGTACATTCTACGACCGGTCGTCTTCAGGCTCGAGGAGGATCGCTAGGATATCGACGCACTCGGGAAACGTAATCTCCGTGTCGTACGACACGCCGAGCTCCTGGAGCAGTCCCTCGACCTTGCCATCGATGCTGGCCTCATCGTTCGGCAGGCCATCCCACTCGATCTGCTGGAGGAGCTGCACCAAGTCGACGCATCGGATCGTGCCCTTGTGGGCGCGGTCGATCGCATGGAACGCCTCTTGGATGCGGGCTTGGACGTCGAGAGGCAGTGCAAACACAGCCTCGGACGGCGTCGCTTCGTCGTCGAGGCGCTGCGCCCGGAGCGCCGTGATCGTGTCGTTGAGCACCGACTCTGGCGACGCGAGCTCGAGCTAATGGGCCACCATGAGGTCCAGTCGACAGCGCCGTCGTACCTCGGGCAGTTCAAAGTGCTCAGGTGCAACCACCTCGCTGTCCATGTCATGGTACGTCTACCATCGAATGCTTTAGCCGCCACGGTACTGAGAGAGCGTGCCGTACGCCGCACTTGGCCGTGTCGGCCTGCCACTCGGCCTCGTAGATCTTGTTGGTGTTCTTGTAGAAGAACCGACCCGGTCCTTCCTTCATATCGTGCATCCAGTAGCCTTCGTAGTGGTTGCCGTTGGCTACGCGCAAGTCATGACACGGCGTCTCAGATCGAGTCGTACGCAGGTGGAGGGTGCCCATGCCGCTGCGCTCGTTCTTGGCCCACCGGCCTTCGTACACAGCGCCGTCCGCGTACGTCATGCGCCCTTTGCCGTCGCGCTGGCCACGCGTCCAGAAGCCTTCGTACTTGCCGCCATCTTCGTAGTAGTAGACGCCAAGACCCTAGAAACGTCGCTTCCGACAGGCGCGTGGATACGTGAACGTACGTGGCGCTCGTCTTCGGCCCAATCGCCCGAGTATTGCTTGCGCAGCTTGGCGTGGCGCTTGACCCAGAACGTGCCTACCGCATCCTAAAGATTCCAGCGCTCGAGACTTGTCGACCTTTGCCGTGGCGCTTCCCGTCGACCCACTCGCCCTCGTACTTGTTGCCGTTGGCGCACACCTGCGTGCCGTACCCAGCCTTCTTGTCATTCGCCCAGTCGCCATTGTACTTGGCTGCCAGCGTGTAGCGCGACGTGGGGTGCGAGTTTGGGTTGCCGTACTTGTCTTCGCTCGCATGCGCCGCGCTGTGCTTGACCCAGTACACCGAGTGGTGCGGTCCGGCCTTGGTCGACTTGGCGTCCCACGACTTCCAGAGCGGGTTGGAGCCCTTCGGCTTGCCGTCCGTGAGCAGCGCCATGCGGGATTGACTATTTTTAGAGGAAATAACCTCTCCATCCTAGTAAACTCAACCGCGCATGACCAGTCTCCAAGCTCACACTGTGCCAATATGACAGTACATAGAGGCCGCTCCGAAGCGCTGGACGACGCATCTACGTGTTGTACCTTTGGCTGGCCACCGACGCCGACAAGCGCCCAACTGGTGTTTCGCCCTAGCTTACTGCCTCGCTCGATGACATTGCTGAATGCAATGAACTTGGAGGCTGCCACCAAGTCTTTGTAAGCCCACGCAATGGCGCCTCCCAGATACGAGACTGCATGCGTGCGGGAGCCAAGGCCAACGCAGCCAAGCAGATCATGATGGCGTCAATGTGAGTTGGAAGAGAGGTAGTTGAGATAAGACGCATCGTATTAGACGTACACGAGGGCGTAGAGTAGTTTGGTGTGGCACTCGGCCTCGAACTCGTCGATGGCTCGTGGCACGTCCTTCTCCAAGTCGGACAGAACGTTGATCTGCAGTCGCATGAGACGCCGCCAATGACTAGAAACGCATACCTTTTGGCAGAGCTTGAGGGCAAGGGCGCCGCCAATCACGGCGTCTTGGGGCGTGTCCTTGATGTCGAGGCAGATGACATGGATCGCGTGGAACGCATTTGGCTTGCGCAGCTGCAAGTCTAGGCAACGTCAGAGCTCCATTGCGAGCAGCGGAGTACCTTCGAGAACGATGTCGAAGATGCGATCTTCAAAGCACACGACGACGTCGAGCTGCGCGAGGTCGGTCGTCGAGTTGTCCTGCCACTTTTGCGGCGCCTTCTTGGTCAGAATATCGCGCTCCAGCATGGCCAGCACGCCGTTGTGGCGAAACCTACGTAGCCGCCATGAGCCTCGAACGCGACCACAGAGGCACGTACAGCGCTTCGTTCTCGGCCTTGAGCTCGCGGTACATGACCTCGTATGGCGTAAAGAACTCGTAGATGTGCGGCTCGTAGCGGCTGCGGCCCGGGAAGCGCACCTTGTTGCCGGCGCCGAAGGAGCACACGCGCAAGCCTGCAGCGTGCAAGTGGTCATGGGCCTCCGTGCTGCGGTTGACGTTGTTGGCGCAGATCATCGCAAACATTGGCGTCGTCATGCTGCCTGCTTGCGTGGCTTGGCGGCGCTTGGATTCGTTATCCGGAACGCCTCCGGATACAGCTGACCATGGATCTTCCCGCCAGCATTTTTTCATCGCCGCATGCGCCTGCCAGTTGTCGTAGTCCACCAGAGTACTAGCGCCTCGCACGATATGACTCTCGTAGTACACGATTGCTCGAACCTAGTCATCGCGTGAATACTCTTTGCAGTCAATGGACCTTCAAGCTACAAGCAAGGGTCACCTTAACCCTTCAACGTCCTGAGCTCGAGAATGTAAACGTCAGCTGACCAAGGTTCGCACGCGACGTGGCGACGAGAGATGATCGTTGCTGTGAGTTCCGGTCGACGAGTTCTGTGCAAACTTTGAACCAACATCGTTTCGGTAGAGAGGTCGTCTATTTCTGCTCGACTCGGATAACGCCAGCAGCCAAGATGCTGTCGCGGGGCCACGCCGATGCAACGACCGCCGAGACATATCCTTTTCATGCTGTGTCTTGATGTTTACCAGCGTTGTTTGCATTTGACAGTGGCCTTGACGAAGCGCACGGCGTCGCTCAAGGCGCAGCTCCACACGCGTATCCAGCACGCGGCCGCGCGGATTGAGGCGGCGGCCCACGCGATCGCTGCGACGCAGGTCGAGCTGAAGATCAAAGCCGTGCGCATCAAGCAGGCTGAGCGCCAAATGACCAAAATGCAAGCGGTGCACACGCTGCAGATGAAGCGCCTCATCAAGAAGGACCTCGTGCATCTCTCGCGAAAAGATAGCATTCGCACCGTACGAGTTCTCTTCTTCTTCATAGCAACTCGCTGCGCTAGAAATTGGATGCAAGTCAGTCGATCGCACTCAAGCTCCAGGCAGAGAACGAAGACTTGGACGAGAAGGTTGTGACGCTGGAAGCCGCGATCGGGTCCCTTCTCGGGCAGTGCGAAGCGGCGATCGAGGTACGAAGTAGCTCATACGACAACTTGTACACATGTGTATGCTAGTCGCACGCAAATAGTGTCCAGCGTCTGCTCGGCGAACACCAATCGATGCGCAAAGTGGACTTTGAAGTCGAGACTGTACGCCAACAAAAATTTTCGCGACGCCGACCATAGACATGATTAGGTCGAGGACCTGCACGCGATCATGGAAGACTTCCGATATGTTCTAAGCCATGTACGACGATATGCGCTTTAGGATGCTAAGCTTGCAAGTAGCACACGCCCGAGCGCCGTTTTGCGCTCAAGTCCAAGCACCTGACGCTGAGCACGCTACAGCCCGCCCACCTCACTGCTATGGTGCAAACTAAAAGCTCGTATTCCAGGCGATAGCTGTATCTTGGGTAGAGCGAGATCATGGTCGGCTACTTGCCCATGAAACTTCTGCCAGTACGACGCGCAAGACTGGCATCAAGTCGCAACGTATGCGATAGGTCAATGTGACGCTGCACAAGCGGTTGTACAACAAGGTCGTGCGCCGCGCCACCGTGCCACTCATGCCGATCGCCAAGCTCACTCCCCGCGAACAGCTTGAGTACGACGCCCTCGGCGCGTCAAGCGACTCGTCGTACGTGTACCCTAACCTCTGTCTCGGTCCGCCAACACTATTCTAGATCTGACGGGGCGGATGAGAACGACCAGAGTGAAGAAGAGGATGTGAGCTCGACGACCGAGAACCTCGCGTGCGTGGCGTCTCTATGGTAGAAGGCTGACCACTGTATCTTGTAGAGTCGTGCCCAAGGCGTCCCATGGGTCGGCGCCAGAGCCAGCAAAAGTGCCGCGTATTTGGGCGCCGTCAGGGAGAAAGGCATCACTGCCGTCCGTTCGCCTCGAGCCGCTTGCGCGGTACTAGCACGATAGAATCTCCACATGGAGCGTTGAGCGCTGGCACATAGAAAGTACCTCGCGCAGCAAACCAATCCACCCGAGTACGTAACCTGCTCGAAGCGTCTCAAGAGCAAGAGACTCAACTGACTGCTGCGGTGTAGACCCAGCTTGCAACGCCGAGCGTCCCTGTGTCCGTCCGTCGCCAGCTCGACGACGTCACGACCCAATATGTAACTTGCCCTTCGTATCTCTGTTGCTACAGATGTGGTATCTCCCTGTGTGTCGTCCGTATGGCCAAGCAGACGATACCGTTGCGGCGAGTTGCTGTGCTTTTCATGGTCAAAACCATTCTGCCTCGCCAAGAATCGGCTCCTTCTTTCGCTTCTGCTGGCTGCTTGTGGCTTGGGTTGAGAAGTCGCACTCAATCTGGGGAGAATCTACGATGCTAGCAGGTCTCGAAGACGTACGAAAAGGCGCAGCAAACTGCAGGCCGGTACGAATGCACTTCCTGAAAAAGGAGGTGTCTTGCAGTGACCTCGACGATCATCATCGAGAACAGCACACCCATCCGTGTGCAGTCCCCGCACCTGCCCATACCAATGCTATCATCATTCGATGTCATGTTCATTTGCGACTACCCAAGATCCAAGCACAGACGGGGCACTCCTGACATACAGAAATCGTCGTGTCATTTCATAAATCTCTCGTATGGTGCCTGTCGATATAGAAAGGAGGCACAACATGTCATCAGCACTCTCTAAATAGGAAGTAGTTAGCGGCCAGTTGCATGCAAGCCAGCACATTCACTTGCTGAAATCGAACTCTTCCATCATCCTCATAATCCTCGGTGGAAGAAATGGGAGTACACTCTCTTGGATGACTTGCGAATGGCAGTCGCAGCAAAATGTGCCGAGTGCAACCGTCATGGCAATGAACCGGCGTGAAACCGGCAACGCCTTTTTACCCCCAACGCGCCATGTACCCGATGCGCTCTATGTGTCCTTCTCATGCGCTGCGGATTAGGTCGGGTGATCGAAGGCGCCGCGCCAGCATCGCCGTCACGATACCCAAACTCGGGACGCTTCGAGCACCTCTATATCCTTTTCCAGCGCACCAAATAGGACTTGCATTCGCTCCTGTTTGATAACATTTCTTGACGGAACTACAGTGCAACAACCACCCTCGCTGACGCAGCAAGTCGAGGCCGCCGACGCGCTCGCACAGCAGCTGCAAGCCGAGATGAGTGCCAAGCGAGCGTTGATTGAGAGCCTCGAAGCCATCGCTACGTCGGACGCCAAGCTCGTGCGCGACAGCCGTGACCGCAGGGCGTCTTTGGACACCGTACTTTCGAAAGCGGTAATCCATTTATGAGCAAGTGATCAGGCGCGGGCATAAATGACTAGCGAGTCACGCCAACCACGCGACAGGGCAAGGAGCTTGTGACGAGCAACGCCGCATTGGTGCTAGCCATCGCCGATATTGAAGCCAGCATTGCAACACTCCAAGCAACGATTCAGTCGGTACGCGATAGAGTAGATAGAACGCTCGAGATATGAGGCAAGCTAAATGATGTAGTCGCGGTCAAAGCCGGCTGCACGGCTCGCCCAGCGCCGACTCTCCGTGTCCGCCGAGGCCTTCGAGACGGTGGACACTTTGCTTCGTGTTGCTCTCTTCTACCGCCTCTTTGGTACAGGACGCTGACGTTGCGCGGCTCGTACAGCAGTTTGAGCTGCTCCTCCGCCACGTAAGTCGTGTCCTTCTCGAGTTGATGACAGAGATGGCGTAGACACTCCCAAAGTCCGCACTGCATTCAATCAAGGCCAAGCGCATCCTCATGGCGCTCGAGGCCATCGACGAGACGAGTCTCCAGGCCATTGTATGTCAAGCTACCTAAACCGCACTCTCGATGAGTATAGGAAATCACACTTGGTGACTACCTCCCCTTTCAGCTGCCGCTGGTACTCTGCAGGTAGCTGGATACTCTCTTGAATGAAGCCCCCATTAGGCGCCAACGACGAGTAAGAAGAAGACGTCATTGCGGCACCCAGACGACGACGAAGACGAGACATATTTCTCCAAATATGAAGACAACACGGCCAAGATCCGACGCCACCTCCAAGCCGCGGGTTCGACGACACCAGCACCCGACGGATCCGCAGAGACTTCACCACGGACAACGTGACGCCAAGGATGTGCTTGAACAACTCACCTCTCATACCTCTCATAGGTCCGGGCAGTCGACGTCGGCAAGCGCCGAGACGACGCAAACGTACATTCTGCGCTCAACTCGTTAGATTCCAGTGCGTGGTGTAGTAAGCGGCTCAGTGTTCGCTTTGACGTGGCGATGCCAGCACTCACGAGCAACAGGTAAGCTCTGTCATGAGCAACTTGCCATTAAATATGGGTTGCACAGCGACAATACCATCATGCACGTACGTCATGAACGAGGTAGTCTGTCGAGCAGCGAACGACCCAAGAGCCCGAGGTTGTTTCCAGAGGGCTTGCCAAAGTACATGATCGTCGTCGGGATGTCCCAACGCTGAGAGACGTTTAGGGACGGTTTGACCAAGAGTCCGCGCGGCAACGACGCCACCAAGTTGGCATCGAGGTGCCCATAGAGCGCGACCAAATACCGAATCGACTCTTCCTACTAGCGTGTCCACGTCGGCGCTGCCAACTGCAGAGAGTTTATCCCCACCTCGCCTCTCCACTAGGTACACTAGGCAGTGGACTTTGTCAGCTGACTTGATGGCGAGTGTAGCAGCTCGGTCGACGCGCTCGTCGTCAAGTTTACATCGCGCTTGCGCCAGTACATAGATTCCGTTCCGCCAACGCTCTGTCTCGACGTATGAGTATGTTAGGAGCTCGATCAAAACCAAGGAAGGGCTTCCGACGACGTATTTCTTGGCAACCAAAAGTGATCCAAACTCACATTTCGTGATAGACATCGCCGCTTGCCCAGTGCCCGCCACAATTCGCTTCTCGTAGCAACGTACGTCACATGAACATTGTATAATACTAGGAAATGAGCTGGCGGTGGATAGAGCGGCAACAATGCCACTGCCTGTCGATGACGTGTGCGCTGCCTCTTCATGCGATTCTTCTCGACTGCAAGATGCTCTTGTAGACCAGTGGCACACGCCAGCAAGCCGAGCAGTCCCTCACGGAGGTAGAATCAGACTTGGTGATTGCTACGGCTAAGCTCTCTCTGTGCCAGTAGCTCCAAGGCTAAAGACCTGGGAGGGTAGGTGACGATGGTGCGCCATTGGTCATGGCGAAATCGTAGAAGCACCGGGGTGTTGCTGGACGCCCCAAAGCTCGTGACGACCGACCAGCTTTTGCCCATCGATGAAACGTGCTTCCTGCCCGTTGACGTCCTTATCGACTCATGGTGTTGGTAGGAGCACGGTCTTGAAGACAGAGTTGAAAGCAAAGTCAAGGTCGGCTGCACCCCATAGTTATATGACCTCTCTGGACGCAACGGTGTACAGTTTAAAGTCTGGCGACGCACCAAGTCAAACGACCGAGAGCGACACCCCGGGGTATCAGCTTATACAACACCGATCGATAAAGCTAGAGGAACGAGTAGACCAAAGGAAACCCCGGCGCCAATGCGTCGCACCCCGACGCCAAAGCTCGAGACGCTCATGCGCAGGCAAGTGCAAGCTGCTGCCGTCGCATTTGACTCTGTTGATACGTGTAGCGGCTCCAAGGCCAAGGACCTCTTTACAAAATCGTACACTCCGTTTATACGACAAAATCTAGACGAGCATGGTAGGGATGCCAAGGTACCCGAGGTGGCGTCGCGCCTCCGCCGAGCCTCCGTGAGCGTCACTTCTCTGTATGTACACCATGTTGTTTCGTAGCTAAGATCTTCTGCAGGGCACCCAGCAGCAGCAGTACCACCACGAGCAGCAGTGTCAAGGCGCCGCGAGATCTGTCAGCGCACCTGGGGTAATCAGTGCCTCGAACGACGCTGCAGGAGCCAACCTCGTGTACTAGGGAGCAAGCGATTGCGAGGCGCACGGAAATGAGTCGCATGAACGACTTTGAGCGCATCGCGCTGGCCGACGACCGACTAAAAACCGATGTTGGCTTTTCGTAGTCGACGACAGCCTCCTATTTACAGTAACCCTACCCACAGCGTACCAGCCGCGTCGATTTTTGCATGTCCTACCATGGTTGCGCACTAGATTATCGCTGCATTCGACATCGCTTTCGTATAGTACGAAGCGGCGTTAGGGAGAGTAAGATAATTCTACGTCGGCGTGTCAGGGTCGATTGTCGATCCCGCGTGGCTGTCCCTAACCTTTTGCCGCATAAAATGTATCGACATATCAGACCTTATATCTCATGTACCCATTATATTTCTGAAGCGCCATCATCATGCGCCGTGAAGTCACCTTGTGTCTCGTGCTGGCTCGTCGGCACCAGCCGTGCCGCTTTTCTGGCAGTCGCGACTCGCCTGGACGTGCGTTGCTCCAGCCATCGACTAACAAAGTTAGGAGATGTTGTCGAACTAGTATTCGACTAGACTCGACTCGTTAGCAGGTGCATCTTGATCTCGCAGACTCGGGATCCCGTCGAGAACGTCCGAGCGCGTAGCTTCGTGTTTGCGTTGGAGTCCCACGGTGCGTCGACTGGCGCGAGTGCCGGTTTGCCCACGGTGCATACAAAGTCCAAGTCATTTCAAAAAGCAGGTGGCAGTCTCAGATGTGCGAGTTTGCTGTTTGCGTCTATTTCGCAGAAACCACCCGAAGCAGCATGACGGTCCGGGCCGACTACGACGTGGTCGTGCGCGGCCAGCTCACGGCCGACATTGAGGACGACCTCGCGCAGGTCGAGATGCAGGCCGCGCAGATCAAGACGCAGACCGCGACCTTTGTGCCCCACAAGTCGCCCACCTCCCAGTACAAGCTCGTCGCGCTCCTGCAGACGAGCAACCTCGTCCAGCGCCTCATCTCGGGCATCATCCTCGGGTCCTCGGTCACCGTGTACCTCGTGCTAGGCCCGCGCTCGGCGCCTGTCTATCTCTGCGCGTTCGTCGTCTCGATCTGCAACTACGAGTTCGCGTGGCTCGCCGAGCGCATTACGCACCGCTTCACGACGTCGTACCTCGACGACTGCCTCGGCGACGTGCACAGCGTAGGCATGTGTGCGATCCGCCCGTTCGACGGCGTCCGGCGCGCGGTCTCGCCGATCGCATGCGGCTACCCGCGCGTCGCTGCCGGGGTCCTCGCGACGCTCCTGGCCACCGGCGCAACGCTCTTCATCTCGTACCTTGCCGTCGACGTCTTGTCGTACAAGGACAGCCACCTCGGCAAAGCGGACTACCTCGTCCTTGACCTCACGCTCTACGTCGCCCTCACAACGTGGCTCACCACGTTCAGCGCGCTCCTCACGCCGAGCTTCCACTGTATGTTGAACCTCTTTGTCCAGCAGTTCGCGTACGGTCTCGTTACGATCACACAGTACTTTTGCCTCAGCTACGACAACAAGTGCTACGTCATGCTTGACACGAGCAAGGGCCGGTGGCTCGCGCTCCTCTTCATCTTTGGCAACCGCCTCCCGCTCTTGACGCGCGTCTCGCCGGCCGCGGCGATCGAGAGCTTCGTCCGCATCCTTCTCGACGTCATTGGCTTTGCCTACATTGTACTGCTCATGCAGCCGATCGCCGACCTCCTCATGCAGGTCGACGGCGCCGACCGCATTGCGCTCGGCTTCCTCGCGGTCGTGTGGGGCACGGACACGGGCGCCTACATCATGGGCCACTTTCTCAAGCACATCAAGTACAAGCGACTGCATCCGCTCGCCAAGCACATCTCGCCCAACAAAGACATCGAAGGCAGCCTCGGCGGCGTCGCGCTCGGTGTTGGCGCCGTCCTGCTCGTCGACGCGCTCATGGAGCTGCCAACGGACTTGACACCCGACATTGTGCAGCTCCAGCGTATCCACCGCATTTTGTTCGCAGTCGTTGGCGGCCTCCTCTCGCGCTACGGCGACCTCTTTGCGAGTCTCCTCAAGCGGCTCGCCGGCGTCAAAGACACGGGCACGCTGATCCCTGGCCACGGCGGCCTCCTCGACCGCGTCGACGCGCTCCTCTTTGTCGGCGCTGTCTTTGCCTTGTACCACCGCGGTGCGTTCGCTCCCTACTACGACAAGCAAATTGATGCGTCGTACGTCACGTCGCTCGTCAACTCGGACGACCTGTGGACGCGCTTGACCAACGCTGGCATCCCGTACATCAAGTCGCCGTAGGATACAGTGGCCTGTCTCTCTGTGTGTATGTCGTCCTCTGCACCATCGTGTAAAGTTGTACATAAGTTATTTACCATTTTAGTGATTTCTTTGGCCTGTCCGAGTCGCCGCCGAGGTCCGACGGACGGCAATGGCCGTGGTAGGGAGCTGCGGTTGCCAGGCAGGGCCGCTAAAGCAGCATGGCCGAGGAAGACCATACACGATGACCAACCAGAAGGCCATCAACATGGAAACGAGCCAACGCTTCCTTGAACCGTGGCGTCGACGCGCACGACGCTTCGGTTCAAGAGAAGGCCAGGAGCATGGAAGCGGTATCTCCATGTAGATGACCTTCGCCATGAGCATCTTGCATGGGCCTTCCTCGGCCATGCTGCTTGGCTCGCATCGTCGTCGATGCCATTGGCGGTCCCATCGCCTTCGCCAGGACGCGAGCAGGCGCCGGCGCTGGCGCAAGCGACCGAATTTTGGAGCGATGGATCCTCGATGTATTTTTATTCGTTGCATGAACTTCTTCGCATTATTAATATTCCAAACGTATTCACAGAATATACAAATGGTTTGTAAAGTGGACGTATTTTTATTAAAAATACATTGCAATGGATGGGAATGGGAATAAAAAAGACGTCGGGCGCCGTGGAGCGTATTTTTATTTCAATCTTAGTTCTCTTCTGCGGCGACCGACGTAAGACGCGGTGCCCATGGGCGATGGCTCATGGCTGCCATGTGCATGTAGACGCATCTACCTCGCTCCAACGACGGCTGATCATGGGAAGTACCTCGAGCAAGGCGCATGACTCGAACCCGGCGGACCTCGGCGCGATGGGGTCGCAGCGGGACGCGGCCGCGCAGGCGGCCAACAACACGAACGCCGTGTATTATGGCAGCCCGACGCACCACGAGCAAGGTCGCCATAGCGATACGGACATGGATATGGACAGCAACTCGCCGCGCTTCATTCCGCCCAGCGACGCGCATCAAGCGGCGGCGGACGCGGGCCGCAATGACATCGTGCCCATGGTGTTTCGATGGGAACATGGCGGACGCAACGTACATCGCACGAAGCGAAGACCGTCGTCTTATGCGGAATGGCGTCGTAGGTGTGCATCACGGGGACCTTCAATGGCTGGACGACGCATGTGCCCATGCACCGGTCGGGGAATGATTTCACGTACATTGCCAACTTGCCGCGAGGAAAGCATGCGTACAAGTTTGTGGTCGACGACGAGTGGCGGTTCGCACCGGACCAGCCGACCGTCGCCGACGTCGATGGCAACATCAACAACTACGTCGACGTCTCAGACTTTGTCGCGCTCCTCGACGTTGACATTGAGGAGGCGAACGAGAACGACAGCGAGACCGTGTACGGCCGGTTCATTCCCGACATCGACGAGTACACGAAGGAGCCGCCGCCGCTGCCGCCGCACCTCCGCCACATCATCCTCAACAAGGTAATAGATCTTAATCGGCTGAGGTCGATCTTAGATGATGGTGGCAGGCACCGCCGAGCGTCGACTGCAGGCTGCTGCCCGTGCCGCAGCACGTTGCGCTCAACCACTTGTACTGCACGGCCATCAAGGATGGCATGATGGTCCTTGGCATCACCCAGCGGTACATGCGTCCTCTACCAGGTCGTACCTCTCATCTTGCCTGCCGCCATGTAGATACAAGCAGAAGTTTGTGACGACAGTTTATTATAGTTTGATGCCAGGGTCGAATTAAGCCGTGTAAATAAGCCTAGACTCGTGTAACCTGGCGTCGCATCTTAGAGCTTAGACATAGATTTCGGCCCAGAGGAAGACAAAGAGCGAGCCCGACCCGAGGAAGAGCGAGGCCAGAGCCGCGAACGCGAGCTCGACGATCATGTTCTTGTTGGCGCTCACGCCCTTGGTGAAGAACGCGGCCATGAAGACGAGCCCGATCAAGTTGAGGAAGACCGCCAGGTAGCCGTAGAGGTCGACGGGCACGGGGCTGGTGTGGGGGAATTCCTACGAGGCAGGTCGCATGAGCATCCTCATGTCCATTTTCGTGGCGTCGGCTCCATCTACATGGCGTCGTCGTCCGCGGGCAGGCGCATGCAGCGACGTACCATGGTGCTAGGGGCGGGCGTGTGTGTGGTCAATCGCCGAGTGTGCTCCCTTTCACGAGCATAAGATTTCAGAGGTCTGCCGGATACGTGGCAGGTTGGCATGCATTCTCAGAGACTTGTGGAAATGGGTTAAACAGGTTTTATTCCAATTCAGCCGACGAGGCCGCTACCTGCAGGCCACAGAGCCCACGACCGCGTTCATGCCGAGTGTAGTGCAAATGCAGACCCATAGTGGAGAGGCGCCAACTGTCGAGGCGCCATCGCCTCTCGGAAGGATATAGCCGGGACGCTTCGTTTTACGCACTAAAACGCGGTGTAGAACGCACACGCCAAACGTTACGACGTCGTTTAACGCGCATGCAGATCTTCAACGAAGGACCACAGACTTGCTTCGGACTCGCGGGATACGTACTACCATGCACCTTGCAGCTGTCGCCTGGGCTTGCGTCGCATGGCTCGCCGCCGCCACGATGGCCGCGCCGACCAGCTTTTTTGACTTTGTCGTCAAGGGCGTCGACGGCGCCGACGTGCCACTCTCGCGCTACGCAGGCTCCAAGGCCATCTTGGTTGTCAACGTGGCCAGCGCATGCGGCTTGACCGACTCCAACTACCGCGAGCTGCAGGTGCGTCCTTGCCATATGAACGTAGAGTGCTCACGCCGTGGCGTAGGCGCTGTACACCAAGTACCACGACCAAGGCCTCGAGATCCTCGGCTTCCCGTGCAACCAGTTTGGGGCCCAAGAGCCTGGCACGATGCGCGACATCCTCGCCTTTACGCACGGCTACGACGTGACGTTTCCCATCTTCCAAAAGGTGTCGTCGTCGTCTCTGGCCATGGGACTAGCGCCGCTCGTAGGTCGATGTGAACGGCCAAGACGCCGATCCCGTCTTTGCGTACCTCACCTCCGTCTTGGCCGGCTCCATTACCAACGACGTCAAGTGGAACTTTTCAAAGTTCCTCCTCGCGCACGGCCGCCCGTATGCGCGGTACGCGCCGACCACGTCGCCCGCTGCCATCGAAGACGCGATCGTCCGCATCCTCTCCAGTCAAAGCCACGACGAACTCTGAGCGTTCTTCTGTCCCTATCCACATGACAATCTATCCATCCAAGACTGTTGAATAGTATTTGGATACTATTCGAATGTGCCAAGACGAGACGCGTCGCAAGTATTAGATCGCTAGCTGTTGCGGTCGGCGGAGCGTCGAGTGGACGGCAGGGTTAGGGTTCCAACGTGGCCCGACTTCGAACCCTCGAAAACCCACAGTATTTGCACCCAGTGATCGCCACGATCAAGCATTTCGATATATATAAGCGAGGACGACACACACGGATGATTCTAGGACCTTGCGTCTACGTCGACGTCGCATTGCTCAGCGCTTTGGCGCCATAGTACGTCACGAGTTGATGGAGCTTGAGCGCGCTCCAGTTTTTGAGTTGTCGGTCGTCGGGCACGAGGTGGATGACCTTGACGAGCTTGGAGATGCGCGAGATAAAATTGAGCTTGCTCTCGCGCTCGAGGTACGCCTGGTACGTGCTGTTGTCGATGCGCTGCCACATGCGCAGAATCTGGTTCGACACGTCCTCAGACGTGTAGCTGTAGTCGCCCGGCCACTCGACGCGCTCGAGCAGCATAGCGCAAAAGCCAAAGAGGAGCAAGTACTGGAGACGGACAAGCCAAGTCGAGTGCAGCACGGGGCCGTTCGAAGGCAGCGCGACAAAGCGCAGCACAGCGACAAATTGAATGCCAATGTGGTACACAAACGCGCTCAGAACTGCGAGCGCAAAGTGCCGCGGCTTGCGCAGATTCGGGATCGATGCCGGGACCACGACGAGGCTATAGAGAGCGACCGTGGCCACCGCAGCAACGGCGCTGGCCGCGACTGCGACCCACGGCGGGCGCTGTGGGCACACGTGGCGCGTCACGAGCGTCGCCAAGTCGGAGGCCCAGAGCACGAGAAAGCAGAGGATTAGGGTGTAGAGGCGGTAGTGGGGCGGCTCGTGCGGGTCGAGCTGGTCTGGATTGAGGTAGTCTTGCACGACGCTGACGACGACGTTGAGGAGCGACGGGACATACTGCAGCGTAAAGAGGTCCAGCAGCAAGGTCACGCCCGTGCGCGCGACCTCGCGCGACCGCACGATGCGCAAAATGACGATTGGCACGAATGCAATGCTGAGGGCGAACCCGGCGTCGATGAGCTTGATGGAGCGAATATTGCCGTTGACAGCCGCGCGAAAGTCGAGGAGCGTGTTGAGCGTCAGCACCGAGAAGGCTGCTTGCATGAGGAGCAAGATCGCGCCGTCCATGGCCGATGGCGTGAACATGGCGGCGATCACCGCGACAAAGCACGTCGACGTAATGTACGCGACGAGGATGCCGAAGGTGCCAGTGTCGAGGCCGAGCCCGGCGTCGTTCTGGATGAGCACAAGGAGGCCGCCGCAGAGTGCGCTGGCGAGGAGCGCGACAAGCACCGACAGCAGCGGCGCGGGCATGTGCAGCATGCGGCCCCAGACTCGCGCGTTCGCCGGCGGCACGTCGCTGTCGCGCGACGCTGCGAGCGCGTCGGGCTCGTAGTAAAGCTGAAAGGGCCGCAGGATCTTGTGGCGCACGCCGAGCGCGTACCATGCCATCTCGTAGTTGAGGATCGCGACAAGGACGGCGGCGAGAAAGTGCATGCCAATGTTGCCGGCAAAGACGAGCGTGCAGATGACGACAGCGCCGATCGCGGTCGACGAGACGACGTACCAGAGGAGCGTGACGGGCGAGACCGGCGCGCCGACGCCATCGTCGTCCATGGACGTGGGAATCGTGGCCCGGGGCATGGACGACTGCATGAGCACAATTGAAGCGAGCGACGGGCGCACGCCGGTAGAGGACTCGTCGAGCGTGAGCGGATGCGGATGGGGCGACTCGGAGATCGGCGTCGCGTCGTGGTAGTCGGCGCCGGCCGCGGACCCGCGCGGCGAAGGAATCATCGTGGCGGTCGCTGCGGAATGCGACCAGCTGGCCCACGAGCTGGTTCCCGCACTTGCTGTTTGTATGGACCGCTATAGAAAGACGGTAGGGCGCAATTGCCGTAGATGAGTACAGTGGCCGCACTAGTTCGCGACTGATCGCACGGACCTCTACCGACTGCGTATGCTTGAAGTAGCTAAAGCTAATGCGCCCAAGTCGCCGCCGAGGCAATGAGCCTCCAAGGGCCACGGCGCGAGGCTGCGATTTCGACTCGCTGCGAGTACCGTCACCGGAGCCTTGTGTTGAAGCGAGAGGGCAAGGCCAGAATGCCGGGCCAATTTGGTGATACTAGTAGCAAGCAAGCTGAGTAGCAAGTATCCTGTACGATGGATATTTGGATACGACGATGGCTCGATAGACCATCGATTAAAGTAGGTAAGGGTATAAGGCTTCAAACTGATTTTCGCCAATGCCATGGACTTTAGTTAGTCGAGTTTCAGTACCAAGTAGCTGGGTTTGCGAATCACCAGACCCGCCATCACCACTGGGGAGGGTACACCACGCTGTTGCTCATCGATGGAATCTTATTGTGTGACGCCCCTTTACGCGAGTCGACGACTCATATCGACAGACCTCGTATCTCGAAGGCACCTTGGGTAATGGTACTGAGCCTCGATGCCCACCCCGTGAGGTGCAGTGGCTGCTACGTGTATGCATTCGAGACTGCTCGTGGCATCGAGAAGGGCGTTGCGTGGACTTGGGACAAGGCTATACTTAGCAGACAGGTTGCCCGTCCAGACTAAAATTACCACGTCTCAGTGGTGTCTTATCGCGCCATGACGACGTCCAAAGTGTCGGTGCTGCGCCTGTGCGTCGCGCTCACGGTTGAACTAGGCACTGCGGGGACGGTAGCGCGGCCGCCGCCGCAACCGCCAACAGCTGGGTGCAGTCGTCGAAAGAGCTCTTGCATGCGTACGCCGACCCGGACGAGGCGCATCTCTCGCTGCGCAGTGCGTCACCTCAGCCTATGACGCGGTCGATAATGAACTTGGGCTAGGTGTCGTGCGGCGCGCCATGGAGCGCGAGTACGTCCTCATGCAGTTCAAGCGGTGCCAAGAGCAAGTGGGCATGGACCCCAACCTGCTCTTCTTTGCAGGTCCTTGCCCATGCCGCCAACCTATCTCATGTAGTGTTGGTGGTGGTAGAGCCGTACGAGACCGACTTTTTGCGATTTCTCAACACGATCAACGCCGTCCGTGTCCGGATCACCTTTTCGATCGGGGGCCTTGCGTCCGCGCTCCTCTTTTGGTACGAGGCGGCGCGACTCGACGCTTACGACGCCAGCCTCCAAGGCTTTTCGCCAAACCACGAGCGCGCTTTGTACATTTTGACCTTTGGCGTCATTGTGCCGACGTTCGCCGCCGGATTTCTCATCTCGTTCTGGCCGCGCGCCCAGCGCCAGCACCTCGAGCGGTAGGTTCCTTTCTTAGTCGAAATGACTTCGAGTCCGAGTGATAGCATTGCGATCTGCGTCTACTGGATCGTGGCCATGGCGTTCATTACGAAAAAGTGGGTTCAAGCTGCGACCGGGCCCGTCTTGCCGCTCGTGATCCTCTTCATCCCGATCTTCAACGTCACGCGCGGCCGGTTTGCGTACAACTGCGTCCTCGGCTGGAGCATCGTCGTCACGTATGTAGACAATATTGTGTGTTATATTCGACTTCGACTAGGTATTTCATCGTGGAGCTCTCCCTCGGGCCCGACCTGACGTCCGCGGTCGTATTCCAGTCGGTCAACTACTCGATGGGCGTAATTGCGGGTATGGTGTCTAACTACCAGCGGGTACGACGTAGCAGTATCTACGATCCGGTATTGAGGGTACTCTCGACTAGGAAATTCTCAAGCGACGCAACTATACACTGGGACTGCCCTTTCAAGGTATCAATGGTTAGCGTGTATCCTGCTAATCTGTGGGGATTAGGGGTCATTAGCGACGCGTCGTCGCGCATCCACGACCCACGGTATCGCAAGGAGCATTTGTGCTCGACCATAACGCAAGCGTTTCGCAGCGACGAGCTCGAACAGTAGACAATATCGTCCATTCTCCACAGCACAGTATACGCGTATAGGTATTTCATTCGGTACTGGTATCTCCTCGACGGCAGTCCGTACGAGAACCCCAAGGCGGGCGTGCTGCACCTCAACGTCTACCGCGGCATCCGCAACTCCACCATCGGTCTGCTTCTTGCATGGCGCCGTGGCTAACTATGGAGTAGCGCTCTTCCTCAACCAAATCACGCTCAGTCTCCAAGATACCATCAATCTCAACGGCCAAGACATCTACCCGTGGACCTTCCTCTTGCGACATGGCGGTGTCTGCGCCATGTACGCGCTGCAGTACCGTCTTTTCTACTACTATGGCCGCTTGTACGCCAACCTGTGGCGGAGCCAGCGCGAAGCAAAGCTGTCGGTGGTCCAGCCGCAGAAGAAGTATGTGGCGCCGAGCGACAACTCGCCGCCATCGTCGCCGGCCAAAACAACCATTTACGTGCAAACCAAAGCCGTGCTCGATCGTACCATGGACGGTTTGGATGGCGGCGTACGACCACAGTGCAAAAATGGTGGAAATGTTTCACAAAATTTGGGAAACTTAGATGCAAAAAGCCCAACAAATGACGACACTCATTACAAGCCAAGTCAAGCAAGTCGTCCACGAGAAGCGGGGATACACGCACTCGGCGCAGCGCACAACATTGCTCGTGCTGGCCGTGCACATTAGCGTCAGCGGTATGCGTTCGTTTCATATGGTGACGCCAACGCTATCGGTAGGCGGTATCTTTTTTTGGATCGCGACCTCGATTGGCGCCAAGTCGGTCTATCTCATGGGCTTCCTCAACGCTCTTCTGTCGGCGCACCGGTCCGGTTTTCGCCTTAGGTTCATCCTTCGAAATATGTCCTTTCGGTCTATAGTCACACGCCAATTAGGTTTGTCTACTCGAGCACGGGGACAAGTGCGCTCAGCATTGCCTTTGTGACCCTTCTCAAATGGCTCGTGCCCGAACGCTTTACCGAGTTCATGTCGTATGTCCTTGTCGTCCAACTCCTTGGCATGATCATCTCGTACGAAGAAGAAAACCTGCGCCGGTACAATACCGATACAGTGTTTTGCATCGAGATACACTGGATGAAATAGCTCGTTCTTTATCAAGAAGACGCTGCGACTGCTCGAATTCCAGTCGTGGTGCCGCGACACGATTCTGCTTCCCCTCTGGATCCGCAACAAGCTCCGCGAGAAGGCTTCGTCGGCCAAAGCGCGTGTGAGTGCAAAGCACGCAGCTTCGACGACGACGACTCCGAATGTGAGCGACGAGCCCAATCTCAAACTCAATTTGCGGGCGTCCTTGGCGGTGCTCAAAACCGTGGTCGCCAACCCGATGCAAACAGTCGCGGGACTCAAGACCGCCGTGGCCCATCCACTGCAAACCGCCGCCGCTCTTCCGTCGGCGCTGCCCACGATGGGTCGCTTCAACGTCGATTGGCGCATCGACCTGCGCGAGCTCCAGGCACATCTCAACAAAGAGAACGACGTTGTCACGAGCGCGTCCGCTCGGTACAGCAAAGCCAGCCTCTACGGGGTCTACGCCAACTCGGTCAATGTTCTCATCGCGGCGGGCCAAGTCATCTTTTTCTTTGCCCGGCGATGAGATAGAGTTGCATTTTCTCTCGACGAAATCGGCCACAAACTCCAGCGTACGAATAGTAATACTATCTAGCTTTTCATTGACAGTGAATAACGACTTTTTGCGCGAAGCGCGGTAGTCCCGTAGCGAGTGCATTTGGTATCGTTGGGGCCTGCTGCGATAGCGCGGGAGGTTGCACCGCAGTGTAGTTTCCGGCTGAACGCCGGTAGCGGTCCGCTGGGCACCGCAACGAAGCGGAAGTCAAGTCCGTCGCACGCGTCCATCATTCGCCATGTGAATGCGTGTTTGCAGTAGAAAGGGTGCGTTGGATGTGCATAGTACAAGAGCCCGTAAGGGTGGAAGGCATCCACACTGTCCAAGCTACGACACAGACATACCGCTACGTTGCACGCGGCCCCGATACCAAACTGGAATCAAAAAGCGCGACAGCACCCTGCACAAACCTTCTACACGGATCAAACCGCTGCGCATGCTACGCAGAAAGACCGCTAGATGGCCCACCAACCCTGTGCCCCACCTCAACCACAAAGACCAACCACACCCTGCCCGAAGAAAACCCGAGGTTTGGGGCAGGGTACGTTGAACTTCAATGCACATGATCCCGTCCACCGAATCTAAACTACTAGTACATCACACGTAGTACACGATCCCTCTGCTAGCTTGCACGCTACCCCAATGCAAAACCCTGTTACGACGTTGTTGGAAGTTGCTGCTGCAAGGTATCGCGCATCGGGTCAAAAGCGCGCCAGACCGCGCGAATGAATGGACAGCGCACTAGAAGATGGTCATACGCGCCACGCTCGTGTCCCACCTCCATCTCTCCGAGTCTAGCCATCGAGTCTAGCTGCCGCGGATCGTCTCTGAACTCATCCAGCGCTAGCCAATGGCTCTGTATCCACTTCATCATGACAGCCTGCTCTCAGTTCGTTGCAGAGACGATGCAGCAATCTCGTGCCCGACAGCTCCGACTCCCTTGCGTGGGCTGCGACAACCAGCGATCGACTTCTACGCTTGTTATACCGCGTAATAGCGCGTCGACAGGCCCATTTACCCTACCCCTAGCTCAAACGCACCAAACCCGACAACATACAAACATCACACGATCGATTATAATAAATAAGACTAGGAAAACTAGGCAATAAATACGTCGGGTACGAGGACGCCGATAGGAACGGACAGGAGCCGCCGTCGGGGTGGAGAAATGAAGCCAATTGTCGTCGTAGTATCGCTTATCTACGTCTAGCCTTGGACGCCATAGTCGGCGCGGTACTTCTTGATCGTCGAGACGTACGTCGCGCGGTCGGCGGCCGAGAGCGCCATCGAGGTCTCGCTTTCAAGCAGCGCCACAAGCGCGTTGAGGTTCGCGATCGCAATCACCGGAATCTCGAACTGCGCTTCGACGAGCTGGATCGCCGACCGCGTGTCCGTGATCGACGCCTTCTCCTGACGGTCGAGCGAGATGCAGACGCCGACGACGTTGGCCTTGGCGTGCTGCAGAATGTGCATGGCTTCCGTGATGGCCGTGCCGGCCGTGATCACATCGTCGACGAGCAAGACGCTATCACGTCATTCAGCAACGCATATGACGTGATCACAGACATACCGCTTGCCGACGACATCGGCACCGACGAGGACACCGCCTTCGCCGTGGTCCTTGGCTTCCTTGCGGTTGAACGTGAACGGCACTTCGCGGCCGTAGAGGTCGTCAAAGCCGATCGCGATCGCCCCCGCGAGCGTGATACCCTTGTACGCCGGGCCAAAGAGCACGTCAAACTCAATGCCGCTTTCCTAATATCACGTCATCATGAGACATGGCGGTGCAAGCATCCCGTCGTACGTGGATGGTCTGGGCGTAGAAGCGGCCGAGCTGGCGGAGCATGCGGCCCGTCTTGAAGAGACCGGCGTTAAAAAAGTAGGGCGATTGGCGACCCGACTTGAGCGTGAACGAACCGAGCTTGAGCACGTCGCAGGACATGCAAAAGTTGAGGAAGGCGGCCTGCGTCTTGGCGGCGAGGCGTGCACGCACCGCGTTGATGGCATCGCGGAACTCGACCGCGGCCTGGCGCGGGTTGGCGGCCCTGGAGATGCCACGGGAGACAGGCAGCAAGAGGCCAAACCCATCAGCCGAGCAGCCGGCTTCGACAGCCGCCTCCAAGTTGCCGCCCTGCGCGCCGAGACCGGGCGCGAGGAGCCACATGGTGGGGCAGACCTTGCGCACGTTCTTGAGCGCGTCGACGTCCGTGGCGCCGACGACAAGGCCAATGTTGTCCTTCGTGTTCCACTCCTGCGCCTTCTTGGCCACGTTCTCGTAGACCATCGAGCCGTCCTGGAGCACAAGCGTCTGGAAGTCGTCCGCAGACGGGTTGGACGTCTTGCAGAGCACGAAGCAGCCCTTCTCCGGGAACTTTTGCATGTCCACGAACGGGTCCACCGAGTCGCGGCCCATGTACGGCGCGAGCGTGATCGCATGCGCCTTGGCCGACTCGAACGCCGCCGTCGCATACGCCGCCGCCGTCGTGCTAATGTCGCCGCGCTTGGCGTCAAGGAGCACCGGGATGTCCTTGGGGATCGCGGCAATGACATTGTCCAAGGCGACGAGGCCCTCCGCACCAAAGACCTCAAAGAAGGCAGCGTTGGGCTTGTAGAGCACGGCGACGTCGGTCGTCTGCGCAATGAGGTTGAGGCAGAAGCGCTCGGCGGCCGCGGCCGTGGGCTCGGGCAGCTCCGACACGTGCGGGTCGAGGCCGACGCAGAGGAGCGAGTTGATCTTCTCGGCGCGGGCGCGGACTGTGGCGAAGAAGGCAGGCATGGCGGAAGATACGCGTCGGACCGGCGAAATTCCAAAGTGGCGTTGTGCGTACGATTGGATTTGGAAGGACGGCGCTTGTCGCTGCCTTCGAACTTCGTTTTGCAGCCACTCGGACTGCGCGATGGGCCGATCCGCGCGATGCCATTGGTCGATTGTGTTTGGTAATCGTCTTTGCTTCGACATAATTATCCATACTGTCTCATATAGTGTGGTCTTTTCAAGAATGTCTCTTTAAGGGGCTGGAATGGCTTTGGATTGGCTGGAAAGAGCCAATCAACAGCTATATTTTCAAATCGAGTCCAAGAAGAGAAAAAGGACGTGGGATCGGCTCCAGGATGGGAGGCTGCCAAGGAGGTCGTGGTCCGCCAGCGACCAAGCCTCTCGATAGCTCGGCGACGAGCGCCGAAGTGCGTCATTGAAGTCGATGGTGCATCCTCCAAGCACGCACTACGAGAGCGTGGGACCGACTGTTCAGCGAGCACGCGACGGAGCACCGGTGACAAGGCGAAACAAGTTGCTCCTTCTCAGTTCATCGCACTCGATGAAGGGCGTTCGTTGGCTTACTAGCCCGATGGAGACAGTCTGGTGCACTAGGAAGAGCATACGAAATGGGCTAGAGAGGCCGCCCTTGCGTCACCACTTGTAAAATCAACCCATCCAATTGAGGAAGAGGCGGGGCAAGTTCTTCTCCTGGCTGCGGCGGTGGGCACGAACGTGTGGTGTGTGGCGGCAGCATTCTTGTTGACGCGGGTTATCGCTCGAAATATTTGTCGATTCCTTGAACGAATGTACATGAGCAGGCGTACACTGTACGCTGTTATATGCGGGGCGCAATCGAGCCACGGTGGCGCCACCAGCGCGAGGTGACCATGCTGCGTACAACGACGTGCACGATTCCATTTTGGCCACGTCGGTTCAGCGCCCGCTTCGATTCGCTTTCTATAAATCGAAAGCTGCGTCATGCGAATTGATAGCGTCCTGTCCGGAACCACTCGAGTGGGACTATGACCAGCGTTCCATCTTGCCGTGCTCGCGCGAAAGCTTGCAGTCTACAAGCTCCGTCAAACGTTAGCAAGATGTCCTTATTCACCACCCAGCAAACACCAATCCCCTGACGATCCCGACCAAGAAGGGAGCTCACGCAACGAGTCGCTTGCAGCGAATGTGTCAACAAAAGGCGTCCACGTTTACGCCTTGTCGTGCCGAGCAAACACTTTGATGTCGCACCCCGACGGTCGCACCCAAGTCGGTCAACCGTCAAGTTCGACGGTTGACGCTGTTGCCATTTCGCAGAGCAAACTCGGCACCAGCCGACGACATGCAGCGGCAGGCTCGTGTCATGTCGAGAGTGGGGCTGTGGACACAAAGTCAGCGTGTCACGCGTTATCCGGAATTCGTACCTCCAAGCTGCAAATTCGTGCTTGCAACGGCGAATAAATCCAGTATATGCGGAATTCCTGCTGGTGGCGAAACGCATTGGCGCGCAGAGTGGGATGATCATCGGCAGTCTGTGCACGTGGGAGGATGACACGAGGTTGACCGTGGGATGATCATCGTCGGCCATGTGATGCAGCGTGACGGGATTATTCGACTTGGCGTCATTTCCCACATTTCCGCTTGCGAGCTCTGTAGAGGACCATGAAGCGCCGACGCCGCCTGTGTGCAGGCGCTGCCTCGGCTGTCCTTCTCAACGACCACCTCCTCTCGACCATCTCGGGGTACCAGCAAGGCCTCTACGAAGAGCTCGTGCCCATCTACCGCGAGTGGGCCGCGATGCAGAACGAGGACGGTCAGTTTCTCTTCCTCATCGACCAGTACCTTCTCTACATGGACCCCGTGAGTCTCCAGAAGCTTCACGTGCACACCAAACACCCGCGTTTCCTCCTCCACCTTGCGATCGTCCAAGGCCAAATGCCACTGCTCTCCCGCTGGCTGCGCTGCGTCGGTACCGCCTGGATCAACCACGACACAATGAACTGCGCCGCGCGCCACGGCCAGCTCGAAATCGTCACGTACCTCGCGACCTCGACACGGTTGCGCTGCTCGGCCGACGCCATGGCGTACGCAGCTGCCAACGGTCATCTCGATGTCGTCAAGTACTTTTACGCGATCGACCCGGGTCTCGCGACGCCGTATGCGCTCCACCAAGCCGCCGAGTACGGGCATTTGCACGTGGTCGCTTTCTTTGCGCGGCGGTGTCCCCATGCGTTTGCACGCGGCGCAATGGACTATGCCGCTGCCAACGGCCACCTCGCGGTCGTGCGGTACCTGCACGAAACGCAGAGCGACGCCAGTGTCTGCTCGACGAACGCGATGGACTTTGCGGCTGCGAACGGCCACTTGGACGTGGTCAAGTTTTTACACCAAGCGCGCGACGAAGGGTGCACGTGGAATGCAATGGACGAAGCCGCGACCAACGGGTACTTGGCCGTCGTCGTCTTCTTGCATCAACACCGAAAAGAAGGCTGCTCGCGCGAAGCCATTCGCGGCGCCGCGGGCAATGGCCACGACGATATCGTTGCTTACTTGCGGGACCACGGTCTCGGGTGCAGCCCCCGCGATGCGTGGAAGACGTATACGTACGATGTGACAGAGGACGGTGTGGCGCTATCCGGCGAAGCCTGGCCGTCGATCGAAGACTCGCTGGACTTTCTTATGGACTCGCTGACGCGGTGATGTTCGTCGAGTCGGACAAACTAAAGTACAAGCCTAACTTACGCTACTGTGTGTGGAGATGCACGTTGCGGTGGTGGAAGAGAGATGCACTGTGGACATGCACACCAGAGACAGTAGAGCTCACAGAGACTGCGCGTTTTCGCGCCTTCAAGCTTCTGCAAAATTGATGACTACTCCCGTTTCATTCCCTGGCCTTGGCGCCATTAAGTGTTGGCTCTCGCACGCAACTTCAACCGGGTTGGACCAATCGCATGGGCGTCTCGAGGGCCTGTCCTATCACAAGCGCGTGGGACAGTTGTACGACATTTGTCCTTTCATCCAAGTACTACCTTTGTAGAATGGACCAACTAGACGAGCAACGGAGTGATTTCGCCTCTATCGACAAGGCAACCATGGTACACACGTTCACATTATATACGGCCAAAATGAAAACACAGAGACTTTACGCGTGGTCGACGCCAGCTTCGCGGCTGCCCGGCGACAAGAGCGACTTGTCAAGGCGGCTGGTGTGGGCGACGATGTTGGCCTTGATCGTCGTGTAAAACAGCACAGTGCCGCCGACAAAGTAGACAATCGCAATCACAATTGCAACCAAAAAGTCGTCGGGCGACACGACGCCTTGGTAGATGATCGACGAGAGCGCGTAGGCACACAGCGCGAGGCAGACGCAAGCACCGGGAACACCAAAGAACGACTTGTACGGTCGCGGAAGGTCGGGTTCGTGGCGGCGCAGATGGATGAACGAGACGAGCTGAAAGGCATACGAGATGAGCGCACCGGTGAGCGCCAAGTTGATCATGACCGAGCCGAGGCGCACGTCGCCGATCGCAAAATGCAATCTACAATATCAATGTATCAACCACGCACAACATTCGGTCGTACGAAATCGCAAGAAGGAGTGCAAAGCACGATCCGAGAATGAGCGCCGCGTACGGCGTGTGGTTGGTCGAATGCAGCCGCTTGAGCACCGATGGCAAGAAGCCGTCGCGCGCCATCGCAAAGAGAAGCCGGCCCATGCAAAAAATAAACGAATGAAAGCTCGCGAGGAGACCTACAATGAGCAGCCACGAGAACCCGGCCGTCGTCGCATTGTCGCCAAATACGCTCTTGTAGCCGTCGAGGAGCGGCGACGTCGAAGCATAGAATTTGTCAGCACCCGGGCTAATGCCAGAGTTGAAGAAGAGCGTACAAAACGACAGCACGAAAAGCGTTGCGATCGACGAGAGGAGGCCGCGGGGCATGTTGTACGCCGGGTCGATCGTCTCTTCGACTGCAAGCGGCAGCTCTTCGATGCCGAGGTAAAACCACATTGCAAACGAGAGACCGGTCACGAGCCCTTTCGAGCCGTCGACAAACTCCATGTTGGGCGCCGCAATGAACTGGTCGTAGCTAAACTGCGTGGCCGCGCCAATGTAGAACACGACGAGGATCAGCACCGAGAGCACAGTCGCAAAGAGCTGGACGCGGAAGCTGAGCGCGATGCCGGCAATGTTGAGCAACGTGAAGAGCACGAAGAAGAGTGCCCACCACAGCGGCCCGCTGTTGCTGCTGCTCCACCCAAAGAGCTGGATGATGTAGCTGCCAATGCCGACCGAGACGACCGCGCACGTGACAATGACCTTGAGCACTTCGGCGAGACCGGCAAAGTACGCCGCCATCGGACCGAGCGCGCGATGCGCAAAGGCATACGGCCCACCGCCGCATGGAATCGACGTCGAGAGTTCGGCGATCGAGAACGAGAGCAGAATGTAGAGCACCGAGACGATGAGGAGGTTGATCGCGAGACCCCAAAAGCCGGCGCTCAAGCCCGCTTGCCTAGAGATCCATCAGTAGGTCACTCAGAACTTAGTGGCGATGTAAACATACCAGCCAAAGAAGTCGCCGCTGACGACGGCGCCGACGCCGAGCGCCCAGAGGTGCGGGGCCTTGGCGAAGCGATGCGAGTC